GTAATGTAGTCGACCCCACTACCTTTTTATGTCTTTCCTGGGTCAGGACGCTTCCCCTCCCCCACGTCTCTTCACCCCTTTTCCTGGGAACTGCCTACTCCACATTTACCTTTGACTTGAGGATAGGCCTCTCGCTGCCCTCCTCAAAATACACAGGCATACTTTTTTCCCCTCCCCTAACCAACACCCCCACCCCCGTTCGCGCGGCCTGGTGATAAGTCTGATTGCTCTTGGGGCCTCGATCTCTCCATAATGTTCCTGGACTCCTTCCTTATCGTTCTTAGGTCCCCATCTCCGATATTGCTTCCTTTCCCACACTAAAGACGTTACCTCGGCTACCCCCACTTTACATTCTTGGGTTTTCAGTGGCGTCTGCCCCAGTATCTCTGAAAAAGCGTTATCGAATTTGTAGGGTTCGAGCTTGGAGTTGAGCCAGATTGTGTCGTTCTCTCTGCCTTGGGCGTGGAAAGCAGTCATTTGAGAATGTCTTTAAAAGCAGAAAAATTTACCCTTTATGAATTCCCCTTCCCTCTGCGTTGAAGCCAGGGATGCGAAGTGAATGGCGGTGAGAAAAAGCCTTGGTTTTTAAGTAGATGAATTGCGTGAGAGGGAAAGTTTAACTGTTGGGAAAACCCCTTCTATGCTAATTTATTCTGTAGAGGTCTTTTGCTTGTCTCACTTCTTAGGAATAATTGGTCTTTCCCTTGGATACTGATGCAGCCTGCTCTGCTGGTCTGGGTCAGGGGTGCATGTATGACCTGCATTTTCTGCATTCTCATGTTACTTGTGCAATGTGTTCACCAGTAATTCATTTCTTTCCCAGATCTCTGGGTTCTGTTGGGCTTTGTCTATACTTTAGTTCATGTCTCCAGTTTTCCCCGTGCTTATGGTGCTGAAAGAATCCCCAGATTCTCAGCTAATTTCCTTCATCACTTGACTAAACAAGTTGCTTTTAAATGACTTAATTTTAACCAAGGTCATATTTACGTTTTTTGTTGGGGTGATGTTACATAGCTCTGCTTTTGATTAGAGAGAATCTAGCTGAGTTGAATGTTATGAGCTTTTCAAGAGAATGTTTGTGTACCCCCATTTGAGAAAATTTCTTGGTGGTTAATTTTATGTCATTAATGTTTTTAGGTCACTCAGAAAAAAGTTATAAGTTGTAATTTTAAATGTGTGTAATCTGTGTTAGGACTAAAGCAAAGAATATTCTCTTAATCAGAGAGGTTTCTGGGCCTCTTGGAGGACACAGGAAAATTTTAATATTGGATTTCTTCCAATTTTCTCAGGAGGATCATTAATTTTCTTATATAGCCAAAAATTCTGGCCCGTTACAGGATTAGAGTCCTTAAGGTTTACTCATCCTGTCATTAAAATAGAAAAATGAATTATGTCCTTTGGTAGGACATGACACAAGGCTCTGTCTCTAGCTGCAAATTTAAATTTCACTGTAAAGAGAGTGCTTAGAAAATTGGCCTTTTAAAGAGTAAAGCTTAATCTTCACTCCTAAATGGCTGGCTTAATTAAAATGGGTATCTGAAATTTGGTAAATACTGATTTTTCTAATAAAAGGCTCTTGGTTTAAAACTAAATGGGTGACCTTAAGAGTGTTTCTTTCTAACAGCATAATTCCAGCCCTTCTGGCATGGAGCATTGGTCCAAAAAAAAAAAAAAAGTGTAAGGAGTGGGGGTGGGGTGAGGAGAAGGTTGTTCTTTGGGTTGGACCACAGGGGTGAGTATACAAGGCAGCAGCAGCTGCTGGCTCTGGAGCTCTGGTTGCTACGTGAGAAGCTTGAGTAGTGTTGGCTGCTGTCTCCAGGGAAGGACAGCAGTGCAGCGTCCATTAATGCTGTTGGCTGCAGGGAGCTGCACTTAGGCGATGGCTGCTTCAGGACTAAGAAGAAATCTTGCTTTTCTGGGAATTTTCATTGCTGAGCTGGTTTGCATTTTATTGGTGGGGAGATGATAATTAGCAATTCATCACCTTCTACCCATTTATGGATATCAGCATCTGGAAACTGGATCATAGTTAAAGTTTTTTTCTTTTTTGTTTGGTTGGGGGGGGCAGATTTTTGGTTTTTATCCGCAGATTTGTGCTTGGATAGGATCAAAAGTTCCATTAGAGTTTTAATTTTACAATCCATTTAAAACCAGAGTATTAAGAATTTAGGGATCTTCCTGAGAACCAGAGTAGGAAGCATATCAATTTTTTCTGCAACCGACATGTGTCCGTCCTTAAATCACTGACTTAATTTTAATATTTTGTTGTGTATTGCCTTCCTTTCAGTTGTTAGGCCCTATTTACCTTATTGAATAGATATTTTGTTAAACATTTGACTAAATTTGGTATCTTAAACTCCGACAAGAATTGCCCTTTTCAGAATGATTTGCAAATATAAATCTCAGAAGTATTTTCTTATTTTCTGGATCGAGAATAGACTTCTCTAGATTAAATTATTTCTTTGGAGTTTGACCTATAAAATGGATTCATTAAATGTATATTGGATATAGTCTTCTAAGATCACAAGGATCTATGTTTGGCTGTGATCCATCTGAAATATAGGACAGACCAGAAGGAATATTCAGAAATTGAATAAGTCTAGTGTATAGGATACTTGAGAAGATGGCCTCTGAACCCCTTATGTGGTCTCCCCTCTCACAACTCCTGCAAATCAGGAAGATCTCTGATTAAGCAGAACAATTTGTTGAGTATGGAAATACTTGAAGGAGAATCACCATCCAAATATACTACCAATTATAATACTTAACAGATGCGTTGTCCGCCCCCACCCCACCTCAACACTTGCATCCTATATTTTTCCCACAGAATTTTGATATGTTCAGTTTTGTGTAAATGTACTTAAATCCCACAATCATCTATAATGTGTATGGCATGACTGGTATTTGTGGCAGGGAACCAAAAAGAATGGAAATGAGTTTTGTCATTCACAAATGTGGCTTGCATTGTCTCTCAGTGATACATGCTGACTAATGAAGCAGAATCTTTCAAAGATAATATTTTAGGTGGTTTTAATTTTTATTACTATCATGTATAAAAGATGCCAAAATAGATAAATATGGTTTCACTCACAGTGGCTGTTGAACATTTTACATATGAACGTTTGTAGCTTGTTGTTATTTAATATGAAAGTTACCTTATAAAATAATTGCTCTTTCACTTGTTTTTCTTATTGTTTGAAACCCGTTGTGATCTTGATGTAATCATTTTCTGGAAGATCATAGAGGCCCTTTTCTTAGGATTTATTTAAACAGTATGCTTGAACATTTTTATCTTCTGATACTGTTTTGTGTCCAGGAACTTACATACTTTCTGAAGTTATTCTGGCCTTTCTTGGGGAGAGTGGCTATTCAGTTTTTGTCTTTATTTGGGGAAATGATACAGGGCAAAATGCAGATATGCACACAACCACTTTTACTTTATCCTCTTCCTGTTGAAATAACTTGTGGTTGAAATAACTTGTGAAACATTAGGCCATAGTCACCTGACTATTGGATACAATTTTTCAATGAAAAATTGGATCATGACTAGAACAAAATTTTCATATAGCTTCTGGTTCTACTCTGGTGATTTGTCAGTTTAATTTGAAACTAAAAAGCCTAACAGTGAATTTTATTTATAAAAATTATTCAGGTATTGAAAACTAAAACTCTTGATAGGGATATTTTAAGACAAAGAAAACTTTGATTCTGCAAAATGTGTGAGATATGGTGCATTTTAATACAATTGATGGTTATTTGTAATTTGATTTAAAACATTCTCACAGCCAAATGTAATATGCCTGTGATAGTAGTAATTGTTACCATTCCTCACTGCCAAAAATTCCAAAATATGTGTTGAAATGGCATTTTTAACCTTCCATTTGATACAGTGCTTGATTTCTTTTGTGGTAAAGATTCAGGAAAGTTCATGAAAGGTGAGAGAATATCATTTTCTTCACTTATCAATACATGTTTTGTTAAGTCAGAGTCTTAAGAAAAGTATCCCATATATTCAAGTCTAAACTGAGTAAAAAATACCCAGTAACTTGGGGGAGGGGTGTCAGTTAGAAAGCATCACTTTAGAGAATTCTCTTATTCTGACAAAGTATATTCAAACGCTTGCCATTTTATGAAGGGAACCATGAGAGATAATAAAGGAACAATGAAAATGAGTCTCAGTCTACCTTTATAGAAGCCCTCACTGAGCAAGGAATTTGTAATCCCATCCTGCCTCACTCAGTTTTTCCATCCTATTGATTTTGTTTGCTGAATACCTCAGGGAGAGATGGGTCATATTAAGTATCTTTGATATAAAGACAGGGAAGAGGAATTTTCTTATTGGAACAGTGTCTTAGTATTTTTAAAACACTAAGATTATTGGCCAGTTTTGCTCATGTATTCCACTGTTAGTTTGGTCTGACTGCTTTCTCTTCTGTGTTCTTCTGTCTTCATACTGTGGAAATGCTCAGAGTTTTGATGGCAAACTGAAGTAATAAGAATCGTTTCTTCAGCCATATTAGTTATGTATATACACTCAGAGCTGAGAATACTCATTGGCCTATGTTGAGTTACAGAAAAGCAGAGGATACAGGAATTTTTACAGAATTTGTTTCTGTCTGGGGAATCAAGTTTTTTGATGTGCTACCTAATTGAGGGAAAATGTCGAATTCCTTGTTGCTCTATTTGAAAAATAGATGGAAGCATGGGAGGAGCCTGAGACCTTTGCAGCAGAATTGGTCTGAGTAGAAAATGAAGATTTTTGTTTCAAATTGCCAGCTG